TTGCTATCGTCCAGTTCAATACCACACCTGACCTAGCGGGGCCTTATGTGGTTCACCACTCCACGTCCCGGGGCTTAGGTTACCGTTTACACTACTAAGCAGTAGATGCTCGTGACCATGGGGTTCGCCCCATCCTCTGTTTATCACACGAAATTGTATTGCAAAAGAAACTTGATTCCCCTTATTTCGATTGATTTGAGATAAGATCAGACATATACATATAAGCGCTTTTCACTTTAAAGCTGTAGAATCATCATCATTATCATTGTGGTCGTCGTCGTACAGCTAGACACAGTCAAGCGAACTTCATTGATCGCGACCAAGCTCACAATATACACAAATTTAGCTATAAATTACAAGACGGAAAGGGATTAGGCCTAATTTGAGGGTGTAAAAGAAAATGAATCTCTATGGTCAGCACACAGATTACAAAAACTAACTGTCAATTCTGACCTGATAAGAAATGACAACAAGAACGCCACTGCTGTCGGTTCGATGCTATGTCCTTCATTGATTCCAAAAAACCATTTACATTCTTTCAGATCCCAACCTAGAAGACCGTAGACCTCTACTCTAACTAAGCACTGTGCATTTCTTCCGGCCTCGTTTCCACGTCATCTGTTAACATCCAACCTGGATGTAAAATACATGTTGAACATAGCTTTCAGGTTATCCAAAAGCATTCATTAATTCTACACAGATTCGTAGTGCAATGTCATCTGGTAACCGAAGATGTGGTATCTTGTCGTATATCACTATGGTCATACGACATTATAGACGGGTCCCTAAAGGTGTCATCAATCACGAAATAAGAGACATGTGTAAGTGATCAACCTTGTAAGGCGAACTTGACGGAAAATCACGGTCAGCACAAATCTGATTTAAACCCTACATTTGTAGGCTGTTCTAATGTGTCCGTGTACGTCCGTGCATGATTTACGGTCGTGTGAGCGTAATTCATCCCACTTATCTCTTGACCATCACCTGATCATGCACAAGATAATTGGGTGCGTCTCAGAAGTGAATGCTCAAGCGGTCTGTAGTTCGATTGGCACTTATGCTCTGTTCGCGTGCAGCACGGAACGATTCAAGCGAGTAATTTCAAGTTGATGTGACTAGAATTAATCCGTTCCTACACAACGGCCCGTCCCGTTTCACTTTCGGGCAACCACATTCTCTTTTCACACTGTTCTCATCATCTTTCTTCTCACCAGTGCTCGATCTTTGCTGACGTTTCAACTCCTGACTGTAATCAATTACAGATTGGACTCGAATGAGTTCATTTGTTAGTCCGAATTACACAATCGTCAAGTCCCAACCCNCCAACCCACCACATGCACTATCCTACCGCGCTAACGTGTGAAACGGCTCAGACATTAACCACAGTTCGTCTATAGTTTTCGCACCTCCGTTAGACCCCTAACGCATCCGCGCATGAATCACAACCACCTGGAACGTGGCAGTTCACGGATCTCGGCAATTATATTCTATCCCCCAGCCGCCCAGCCCCAATCTCACTCGTTTCCGCTTATTTCCATCTACCAAGCTTTGCTTCAGATCAGTTTGATTTTGCTTCGACTTGCCTCTTTTTGGTTTTTGTCACGGGCGGGCGGGCGGGTGGACGGACGCGTGCTTGGAAAACCCGATGCATCTTTGCCGACGTATCTTGCTTGCGTTCGTTTCTCAGCCGGCGTGCACGACCGATCAGCCTCAGACGTGCCGCGCATAAAGTAAAACGGAACGGTAGCTGCCTTCCCGACACGGATGTGCACCATCTTTCGACAGGCCAAGAGGGCTACCGTGAGCTGAAACCTGTCTCTTCACTTCGGTCTCATTTGCGTGTGTGTGTGTGTGCACAGTTGTCGGCTGTGCAGATGGGTGGGTGGGACTATGTACATACAGCTAGGCAAAATGAAGATAGCTTTTGACTTGCCTCATTCTGTCTGTCTTTCGCCATTAGCTGCTCAAATGAAGTGTGAACATGTTTCCTCGGCACGCGGTCGCGCGCGCGCGCACACACACGCAGACATACACGACTGAAAAGTACGCTCATCCTTCCGTGTAGTTGTTTGTTTGTGTGTGAGAGAGAGCTCGTGTAACGGCAATTCGTTGGTCATTCTGTCGCCTATACATAATTTCCCTCGGTTTGGATTGAATCGAGTCCTAGCGTGTGTTTATTTTTATTGACGTCAAACTCAAGGGAGACTAGAAATCAATCACCTTCGATCCATGTCGAAACGTGACCTCACGAAGTGTTTATTTTTCTCGTTTGTATTTAAAAAAAATTTTTTATGCACAAAATACATTAGTATTTTGAATAATCTATCTCATGTTCGTCACTGTTCGTCATCTACTGTATCTCATTTTAACGGACAATTATCATGAGCATCATCATGATTTTTCCTCCTCTGTTTTGCAGAATCCCCCACCGAAACGAGACTCTGTCATTGAGGAGGATTATACAAACATAAAACATTTCTACCGGTCCGTGCACGGCGTCCGTACTATGAGGACCTCATTTTTGCGTCGCTTTTTTCAACTCTGTCAGATTTCCACAAACACGCTCCATGGATTTTTTGTCGCCTTGCTGCTCGGACTTACTGTATGGCCCAGGTGGATTCAGGGTTGTTTACAGCTCACCGAGAACACGCGTCCGGTTCTGTTTTGTCAATCTTCTGTACCTCGACTCCCTTTGGCCGCTCACGAAATTCCAGCCTCAGTGGCCAAATTGCGAATCATTGGGACAAGTTCACCAGGACAACACAATGGTATACTGTCACAGTACAATTTGACTGGGCTGGAGACACTCACCTACATGGAGCTGAGTAATTTCGGTCTTGAACGGATTGAAGCGGAAACATTTCAGTTTATGCGTCAGTTACGCGTGCTGGATTTGTCGAAAAATCGAATTCATCGAATAGAACCTGGGGCTTTCCGTGGTTTGGTGTTGAATCTACTTTCACTGTCCGATAACACAGGCTTGGTCGGTCTCAGACGTGGCGTCTTTCAAGGAGCTCAGATCTACCATGTGGCCGCTCGAAACTGTGGTCTTAGACAGGTGGACTACCAAGCGATTAACGAGGCGAAACCGACCCAGCTCAGCCTGTCCCACAATCAGATCAGTTGGCTAGATCCGCGATTTGAGAGCGTTCTCAAACCGTGGAGCGCGACAAGTCAACTGAGTTCCATTCAGCGTCCAAGTAACTGGGGCTATATCGATTTAACCGATAATCCGTTGAATTGTAATTGTCAGTTGCTGTGGCTACCGCGGCTCATTGAGGAACAGTTGTATCATGCTCAACGACTGGATGCTTTTTCCAAACCCGCGGACTCCGTGAGTCCTAATTCATTTACAGACGGATTGTCCGACATGCAGGTCAAATTGAGTTGATACATCAACTTGACCTGTGCTAGTCCTGCCCCACTGGCCGGAAAACCACTACCACGTAGCTGGAATTTCTTCTGTCCCATGCCCAAAGTGGTCGGGATCGATATCAATCTGTTCCACCCGGAAATGGAGTTTGCTCAGCTCACCTGTATTGGTCAAGGTCAACCTCCACCCAGTTTGGCTTGGACGTACCGGAATAATGGTCAGAAAGTACAGCGTATTCTGGACCCGGTCACTCATCTGCCCACGTTTATGGCACCTGCTCGAATAGGGATTTCCGAGTCC